GGGGGTTTTAGGTATTAAAATATTTTTTGGTGTTTAGAATCTTAAGATATAAGTTTTATAAATTTATAATTAGTGGCATTTTTGTAAATAGACACCCTTAAGTAACATTTTTGCAAATATGCAAAAAAAATGGTATTTTGTAATTGTTCCAGTAAAGAAACAATAGTTAAAAAAAGATTAAATTAAGAAACAAACTTGGAAAGAATTTGAGATTCTTACAATGTCATAGAGAAAGGATAAGTTTTGTTCTTGAGAAAAGGTTATACAGAAAGGACAAGCAAGTGAAGGTTCAAAATGTTTTTTAAAAATTGCAAAAATTATCATTCGTTTAACAAAGTATAAACTCGTTAAAAATGGTAAAAAATACAGAAAAATAATATGCTCAACCCCTTTTCAAAACTCGTTTTATTACATATCAAAATACCTTAATAAAAACTATAGGCTTAAACCATTTATCCTATAAAAACACGAGAAACGTATACCCTACAAAACTTAAAACAAAATCCTAATTAGGACAGATTATAGCCACTCAAAGTAACTATATATGAAATACAAATCTAAAACATCGAATCGAAGTTTAAAACTACATCATTATCTTGTGTTTTTATAATATCACCTATTGTTCACTAATAAACTCCGAATTACTCTCCGGCAACTTCTCCACCGGAATTACCACCACCACTAGCTTCAAGCCGACTTTGTTCTCTCAACCTCCCCCACGCATGTATCGACATATGAAGTTTCTTCCCGGCGAGAAGAAAATCCGCCGCTTGAACCGGCGTCAAAATGTCAACGATCGTTGTCAACGTGGTTAGCCTAAGCTTATCAGCTTCTGCAAGCAAACCAGCCATATCTTTTTCATGTTTATCAAGCGCACGCTCCACCGCCACGTCAGCTTCTCCGATCACTTCTTTGTAAAACGCCGTGACGGCGATTGGCATATCCGCCGTGTCTTCTTGTAAACTCGCCGATCGTATAGTCAGTTTATTCTCTTCTTCCACCGTTTTCAGATGAAGCTCGTTGATCTTGTATAATTGCTCAGCCGTTAGATCACTCATCGACTCTCCTCCTCCGTCGATTCCGCCGCGTGTCTCGCCGTGGAGGACGGTGCTTAGGTCTACAAAAGTCCAAAGTGAATTACTGCAAATAAACAACAAAAATTACTACAAAAGTCCAAGGTTTACTATATGTTCTATCAGAAATTGACACTGCTGTGTAAATTACATATCAACAAACAACAACAAAAAATAACGAAGTTATTATATGCATTTCACCACTAAATTACAAAATTTTAACATTTCACAAAATTTCAAAATAAAAATGGTTGTAATCATGTATTTTTGTTAAACAAAAGATATCGTTTTGTGTTTTCAATACCAGTTTTTTTTCGTTTCATTATATGTAATTGTTGTTTGCTTTGCTATGATAATTACAAGTAAACAAACAACCAAAAACTAAATGAACTTATTGAATGCAACCACCATATTATAAAATTTTAACAAATAATAAATCTTCAAAATTTAAAATTTTTCACAATAAAAAATTTGTTGTAGTCCCAGAATCTTGTTTTGATTTCTATTATTACTAAGAATATAGAATTATATTTTAAAACGACACTTATAATAAAACATATAGTAAATATATATCTTGGTCTCACCGTCGATGTTGTTGGTACGGAGGAAAGTGTTTAGCCGGAGCTCGGTTTGGGAACCACACATGGCGTAAACGAGTCGGATAAACGAAGAAGGACGACAACCACCAATCCAAAGAAGTGAGTTTTCGAGACAAGTGTTCCATGTCGGAGCGAAATAGTTTGAGCTATATCGACGGGAATGTTCACATCGTTTTGCGGCGTAATCTTTAAACTCTCCGATCACGGTTCGTATCAAATCTCGAAGCTTGTCATCTTCTTTTTCATCGTTGGATAAAGCTTGTTTAAGCTCTGTCATGCGTTTGGCTTGTAAACTCATCCACTCGTTATAACAATCTTGTTGAAGTTTTTCTATGGTTGAAGAAGAGCTCGGATTCTCCATTCGATTTTTTTTTTCCTTAATTAAGAGTTTTTGTATACTCTTATATTTTTGGTTGCGTGCGTTTATATACGGAATTTGTTATACATATATTTTTGTATGCATGTTTAGAGTGTGAAGAAAATGCGTTGTTTGAGGATGTAAAATGCGCAAAAAACAAAATAATGCATGGATGTGGCACCATGGTTACGGAATTTGTCGTTTTTGATACTATAGATTTTGGCACTATTTTTGGTTGTTATATTTCTCTTAAATATTTTTTTTTTGTGGTTCTTCTGTCATCATGGTCGGCGGAATTAAAAGAGTAAACCTCATTGTGTAAGTTATCGAAGTCTACATTCCATGTCACGAAAACATGTAAGAAGATAACGACAAAGTCATATTATATGAAAATTCTGATTTCTAAGAGTAGCAAATTGACGAAGAAAATGCCTTTTAACCAAAAACCAGACAAATCCCTTAGCATCTAATTGGTTTAGTTTTTTTTATGCTTTAAACTTTTTAAATCAATAACTAAATTAATTGGAACAATTACAAAAATACTATTTTTGGTGTGTATATTTGCAAAAATACTATTATGAATTGTCTATATAAAAATACCACTAATTATAGATTTTTAGAATATAAATATTAAAATTTTAAACCCTAAAAAATGTTTTACCCTTAAAAACTTCTAAACATTTAAAACTAAATCCTAATACAACATAATTAACTCAAACATAAATGATATAATGAATAAATAATTTTGAAAAAGTGATATTTTTGCAAAGATTTTGAAAATGTAACATTTTTGAAAATGGCAATTTATAAGTGACATTTCTTTTTAAAAATTTAATTAATTTTTACTTATTATTATAATATATATAAAAAACTCTCTAAAATTCTAACTATCGGAAGTGCTCTTACGAGTTCAATCAATATATCACACTACTGTTTTTTTAGCAATTTTACTGTCATACCGATATTATTATTTCAAATTTACTATCATACCTCGTTACAATTAAGTAATTAACTAACCTAAAAGGCTAAAACACCACTCAAAACTTTTTTTCCTTTTTTTAATCTTGTTTTGTTTTCTACTTTACCAATTACTCACCGAGCCGCCAATACAATATACTATTCTACCAATGAGAAATTTATTAAAAGGTCACTGAAGTTTATGTAGACTACGGTAGAGAGCGTTTCCATTGTTCTTTTGTCTTCTTCTTTATTCTCACCTGTCTCTATGCACTCACCGTCTGATGTGCTCTCCAGACTCCACTACATTTATTTGTTTTTTTTTTTTACTAAAAACACTACATTTATTTGTTGGGAATATATCTCTTCTTTGTTTTGCCAATTAATTATTAGTGTTCATAAGTTATGTAGCATCATTTTGGAGAAAACAAAAACTAGCAAAGAGTACGCACTAACATTTTTGTAAATATCGTTTGTTTATTGCAGTGTACATTAAAAACATGATACATATGAAATAATATATTATAAAACAAAATAACATTATTAGTCTTTTAATTAAAAAGATTCATACTATTTCTTAAATCTACGTTATAAAAAACGTACGATATTCACAAAGGTACCACATGTTTTTTGCACAAATTCTCCAAAATTATGTTATTCCAAAAAGAAATTAAAAAAAATTATAATCTTACTTAAAATATATATATATACACATCTACTTACTTAAAATGTATACATCTACTAATATGTTTACCTTGTACTGAGATGATGTCTAAACAATATGACGAACATAAAAATAGATTATTTGGCCACAAATGAAAGTGAAACGTCCGAAGCTACAAATTATAAAAACCCTTTTCTT